ATACATACTAAAACATGGAAGAAACTTTAAAACATTATGCTAAGTATTGGCCTTGGCAGCAAATTTTTGACTATCACACCAAAGCACACACAACTAAAGCAAAAATAAGCAACTGGGACTATATCAAACTAAAAAACACAGCAAAGGAAACAATCAATGGAATTAAAAAGGCAGCCTATCAATTGGAAGAAATTATTTACAAAACATATATTTTATAAGGGGTTAATGTCCAAAATATATAAGAAACTTATACAACTCAATAGTAATAATAACAATGATGATGATGATGATGATGATGATGATGATGATGATGATGATGATGATGATGATGATGATGATGATGATGATGATGATGATGATGATGATGATGATGATGATGATGATGATGATGATGATGATGATGATGATGATGATGATGATGATGATGATGATGATGATGATGATGATGATGATGATGATGATGATGATGATGATGATGATGATGATGATGATGATGATGATGATGATGATGATGATGATGATGATGATGATGATGATGATGATGATGATGATGATGATGATGATGATGATGATGATGATGATGATGATGATGATGATGATGATGATGATGATGATGATGATGATGATGATGATGATGATGATGATGATGATGATGATGATGATGATGATGATGATGATGATAAACCTGATTAAAAATCTGGACAAAGGAACAGAATAGACATTTCTCAAAAGAAGACATACAAATGGCCAACAGGCATATGAAAAATTGTTCAGTATCACTAATCATCAGGAAAGCACAAATCAAAACCACAGTAAGATATCACCTCTCACCTGTTAGGATGGTTATTGTCAAAAAGACGAGAGATAAGTGCTGTCAAGGATGTAGAGAAAAGGGAAGATTGTGCACTGTTTGTGGGAACCATTATAGAAAACAATACAGAGGTTCTTCAAAAAATATAGACCTACCACTTGACCCAGAAATCTCTCTGTTGGGTATATACCCAAAGGAAATGAAATCAGTGCCTAGCAGAGGTATCTGCACTGTCATGTTCATTGCTGCATTATTCACAATAGCCAAGATTTGAAAACAACCTAAGTACGCACTGACAGATAACTGGATAACGAAATTGTGATATCTGTCTACTTATCTGTCAGTCTGTCTGTCTATCCAATGGAATATTATTCAGCCTTAAAACAACTAAGAGGACACTGCCATTTTTGATACATGGATGAACCTGGAGGACGTGATACTAAGTGAAATAGGCAGGCAACGAAAAAAAAAACACTGCCTGATCTCACTCACATGCGGAATCTAAAAAACGTTGAAGACATAGAAAAGGACAGTAGAACAGTGGGTGTGAAGGGAGAAGAAATAGAAAGAAGCAGTTCAAAGGGTACAACCTTGCAGTTACGTAGTGTGGAAAAGTCTAGAGGACTAAGGCACAGTGAGAGGACTGTAGTTAATAATATTGTGTTGTACACTGACAATCTGCTAAGGGAGTAGATTTTAGGAGCTCTTAGCACCCTCCCCAGCCACCACCAGCACACACGAGGTAACTGGATGATGGTGGACAGGTTAATTTGCTTAACTATATTTTACTATATACATGTATATCAAAACAGCATGTTGTATACCTTAAATATATATGAGAAAAAGAATTTTAAAATAAAAATTAAAAATGAAGGAATTAACTGGATAAAACACAAGATAAATTAAACCAATCCAGACAGAAATGATTTGATAACATGTAAAATACATATACAATATGAAATATTCTTAATAATATAAATTTTACCTGTCATCATTTAAAAAAAAACCCTATTATTTACAGAATAATAAATAAAGGGGTATCCTCAAGAAACACAGTATGCTTTTGACTTTTAAATTTATTATGGCTGGCATTCTGTTTAACAAATTCAATGCTGTGTTTCAGACCCAGCAGAGTCACTTTGTTTTCCATCAGTAGTTGATTAATAATTCGTGTGTATCTTCAGGGTTTTATTCTTTTATATGAGCACACAAATGATTTATGTTTTAGCAATTTAAAGCTACTTCCTCATTTTCACTCTTTATCATAATTTTTAGAGGCAAATAAAAATCACTTTGCCCATATCGTAAGTATGTTTTCATATCCTTTGGCTTTTAAATTTTTTACTCAAAAGAAGAAAAACAACAGCAGCAGCAAGGTCTTGAGGTGTTCATGATTATCATCATCTCTGTTTTCAGTGGCAATGTCACGTGCCTCGTGTGTTCCCTGGTGTAGGGACGCCAGCGAGTGAGGGTTGGGCTCTCGCCTCCATTCTGTCCCCATGACTCCTTCCTTCAGCTGCTCTCACAGAGCCATGCATTTGTATTTCCTACCCGGGTCTTCCTCAAATATTTTAACAAGTATCTGTCTATGGACAAAACATTGTCACATTATCTTTTATGCTTCTAATTTCTACTGTAATTTCCAGATCAAGACTTAAACACAAATCTCTTTAAATCCTTTGTTAGATTCCTTTTTAGGAATGACTATGTACAAGTAGGTGGTAATGCTTAGAACATTTTTTAAAAATTTAGTCATTAAATATCTGAGAATTGAAACATTTATAGGATCCAGTGTCTCTTATCCTTCTTGAAAAAAGGAATTTTGAAATTTCTTATGATAATGTGTTTATTCTACTCTAAATGAACATTTAGATATAAAGTATTTCTAAAACATTAACACTCTAATTTGCAGAATACATAAAAATTATTAGAGTACTCTACATTCAGCTGGCTTGATCACTATTTGCTAATAGGTAGAAATATATGATACACAACTATATGAAGACAAGGTTTTGTGGATACCACTTGGGTAACACCAAGATCTCTACCCAGCTTCTCTATCTACCTACAGAAACTTCTCCATAATTATTATGTACTACTTTTAAAAATGATGAACTGTATCATGTTTTAATAACCCAGGTCATAACTTATGGCAGAATGGTGACTGCCAGACATCCATCATCCTGATCATTAATTGTAGTGAGCATCCTTTTATTGTCTCCTTAGTTCTCTCTGATCATTTATCCTGAAATTTGGAGATAGCTGGAGTTCTAATCAACCATGTTGAAAGCATAAGGAAGAGGATTGTGACACAGGATCTACAGCTGAAAACTAGACTGATCTGGATCGTTGATGACACAGTGGAGCCCATAACTGCTCTGGATGGACAAGTTCCAAAACTGTTTTACAGTATGGGGAAAAATAACCCCACAAACTATTTAAGGCACTGTTAGTGGATCTTGATTCTGTCCAATTCTTAACTCATATAGCCTATGGTAGGCTGTGTAGAAATAATGGAGAACTTAAAATTAAAGATAGCCTTGGGCATTGATTTGCTAAGTATTTTTAAAAATAAATTTTATGAAAGCAAATGTATGATAGTTTTAAAAATGACTGAGTTTTTGTGTGAGAATTTGGGGTGACAATTCTTTATTTGTATATCATTTTACCTAATTTTCTAAATGAATACTAGTAAAGTTAGGTTGTAATAGAACTACAACTTGTCTAACAAATATTTCTTTAATTATCAGCTAAAATAATGTTTGAATTCATTTTACCTAATTTTCTAAATGAATACTAGTAAAGTTAGGTTGCAATAGAACTACAACTTGTCTAACAAATATTTCTTTAATTATCAGCTAAAATAATGTTTGAATATGTGTACATTCATAATTATATGTAATTAAGATTTGAAAAAAGTTAGACTTCATTCATACTTGGTTAAAACCAAAACATGAATGTTTTAATTATTCTTCATTCACAAAATATCCTCTGCTCCAAAGTCAACTATATTTTGACTCTCTGTTCCTCAAAAGGTGTTTTACTATATTCTGTTACTGGGCCAGAGAGGTATGTAACTTAAAACATGGACATAAGACTAATTTGAGCTTGAGCTTTCTTGTGTATTTATGTGTATGTACATAAGTATTATGTGTTTCACATGATAGAAAAATCTAGGAAGGCAAAAAATGTTGATACATATCCATATGTACCATATTGAATGATAAAATAGGAAAAGCAGATAATAGAATGGAATATTTTGGACAAGTATGTTTCTGGCAAGAGGGAGTTGAGTTCAGCCACACACCTAGAGACTTAGAGTTTCAAGCAAGAGAACAGAACTGAATCAGTATCTCTGAAATTGTCCTTGAACAAAAACAACTCTTCATAAGCTTGATTGACACACACTAGAGGTGCCACAATAGGGTATAAGTTCCATTAGGGCAGGGATTTGTCCACTGGAGCCCCTGTAGTATATCCCAGATTCAGCACAGAGCCAGCATATTGTGAGTGATCATTACATATTTATTAGATTAATACATTAAATGTTAAAGATAATTTCAAAAATATATAAACAGTTAGATAAAGTTAGATAAATATTCTATATCTATGTGAGGGCACTTTAAAAAGTTCATGGAAAATATAGAATTAAAAGGTAAAATTGATCTTTCCATAAACTTTATGAAGACCTCTTGTATATGTATATATATAAACAGTTGATGGAAGGCTTACAAAAATGCAAAAGAGTAGTTATATTTCAGATATGTGACTTGGATTCATTTTTGTTTTACTCTGTGAATTTTCTATTATTTTTATCATGACAATGGGCATATATTATTTTAACTGCTATTTTAAAATGATTTTATCAAAATATAACTTATGACATTAAAAGCACTCTATGTAATATGAGGTAATTTAATAAAACACATTAAATAAACAATGTGATTCTTAATTCAGTGAATATATATAATTTCTATGAGAAAAGTACTAAATAGCTAATAAAATATCCACACTGATGTCATCTATGCATGATTGTAAATTATATTTTATTCTTTTTAATTTTTTTAAATTTTCCCAGTTTTTTATATTGAATATACATTTATATTATGAGGAGAAATACTAAGAATGTATCATTTAAGAACAGTGTGTAAAATATTAACAAGTGATTTGGGAAGAAAATACTACCTACCATATTTGTGCCACAAATAGTTCCATCGTTTACCCACATCATTTTGCTCTTTTTATCATCATGGGCATATTCCAGAGCAACGCAGATATTTCCATCTATGTTTGCATAAATAATAGTGGCATTGTGAACTACAATTAAACTATCACTTCCATATTTACATAGTAATTTTCCACACTTCCGATCCCTATAATTCACCCATAAATGAAAATCATTAATTATAATATAGAGAAATATTAGAATATTATTTCTAAAGCAAATAGACTTAAATAAATCACTCAAGATTTACAAAAGGATGTATGCAATTAATTTTGAAACACCAAAAATAATAAAAAAAGAAAAGAAAGAAGGGCCTTGACTGAATTGCTAATAAAATTAAACATTTTAATATTTATGAACTAGTTAGCCTGAGTACTGTTTTTGTGATTCCTTTACTATTCTTTGATCTTTAAACAAAATCAAATCTAAGCTTATTCTATTCTTAAAAAGAAAAATATTAGTACATTTATATAATTACCAGCCTTATCGGGTTTTATTTTCAGCTTAAGATTATAAGTCTCAAACTGACAAGACACTGAAACCTTCAGTCAAGAAGTATTACATGCAATAAATATTTAGACATCATAATGATAGTGCTGTAAACCACAGAAAAAAGTAATAAAAGTAAGCAGAAATAAAGGCTCATTAACAACAAAAGAACAGTAATACAACTAAAGAATGACTTTTCAACAGAAAAAATGGAAACCAGAGACTATTAAAGGATATTTTCAAAGGTAAAACAAAATATCTTCCATCTTTTCACTTTCTATGCAGATAAAATATCTTTCGAAATGAAGTAATAGCATTTTCAGACAGTAATTAAGAAAATTTATCGCCACAGTCATGGACTAAGGAAAATGTAAACTGAGTTCTTCGCATTGAAGGAAATTCATCCTAGACGAAAATTTACCAGTATGAAGTACACGGAGCTTCATCAGATTGAGGAAGTTTCTTCTCTGGTGTTTATCATAGATCGGTGCTAGATTTTGTGACAAATCAGACACCAAAATAAAGAAAGTTGTGTAGATAAATCTAAATAAGATAGCTCTATGAGAGAGAGAAGGTACAGATAAATCACCTTCTCGCAGCCCCTCCAAAAGTGTAAAACTGGGATAATTTGTCAAAAATAACCATTTGGAGGCTATGAAATTTGATAAAAAACAAACAACATATTAATATGTATTTATTCATGATCACCTGCTATAAACCAAGTAAGACTAGTGGGCGGTTGTGGTCTTCCTCTCTGAGTCCACCCTCATCCCCTTTCCCAGATCACTTATTGCTGTCGTTTTATGTATTTATTCATGATCACCTGCTATAAACCAAGTAAGACTAGTGGGCGGCTGTGGTCTTCCTCTCTGAGTCCACCCTCATCCCCTTTCCCAGATCACTTATTGCTGTCGTTTGGCAGGGCAGGGCTGGCCGTGCAAACCCATAACTTCAATGCCAGAAGGGTCTTTCGTAATTTGGTAGGGTGGGCAAAAAAGCCTCACCCAGGGACATTTTGAGTAAAAGTAGCAAACTCAGTAGGAAATGAATGGTAATAAACTGAGGGAATTCATTCCCAACATCTGTCCAAGAAATGTTGAAAGAAGCTCTTTTAGGCAGAAAGAAAATGTTATGAGTCAGAAACTTGGATCTACAAAAAGAAAAAGAAAAGAGTACCAGAAAGTGAATAAATAAATGTAAAAAAATATTCTCTTATTTTTTCTTACTATTAGCTAAACTAAAAGATAACTATCTGCTTAAAGTAATAACATTAAGAATGTATTGTATGCTGTTAGCAATAGTATAAGTAAAATGAATAACAGCAATGTTTCAAGAAAGCAGATGGAGGAATTGGAATACTATTAATACACACCTGTCCTACACTTGAAGCGGCATAGTGTTATTTCAAGGTAGACTATTGTTGTTTCTACTGTTATTTGAAAATAGAAAATATGAATGCATCAATCACTTTTAAATCAACAATCATTTTTGGGCCGGCCCGGTGGCGCACTGCTACAGTGCGCCGCTTGGGAGCACGGCGGCGCT